AAATGACCTTCTCCTGCCTGGGTCTGGGGAAAAAGGCGTGTGGAAGACACTGGCAGGGTTTGCCCGTGCGTGAGTCGCTGTGCACAGGAATGGCGTCCTGCTGCGCAGAAATCGGGCTCTCTGAGAAGCTGGAGGAGGGATCTCATGACCAGCAAGAGCCAGGCGAGGAGCACGTCCTCTGGACCCCGAGATACCTGTGCCGTGAACCTCCTGGATCCAGAAGACCGCTGTGACACCAGAAGAGCCGCAGCTGAACCAGGACAACCAGGAGCAGCCAGGGCAGGAGACAGCGTGATGGACTTCCCAGCCCACAGAGCGAGTCAAGCGGAGTGTTTGAGGCAGGAGGCCTGCTTGCGGAGTGGGGTACCTCCGGGCACTGAATTGGGGGAGCTGAGCCTCATGCAGCGGAGTGGCTGCAGCCACAGGAAAGAAATGGCCACAGGATGTGTCCGGGGAGCCCTAGGGCTGTGACAGATGGAAGATTCTAGGAGAGTGCGTGCGCTGGGGAGGGTGTGGGTGTCCGCCAGGCACCCAGACCCAGGAGGGGCTGGGGAGGGGCCGGACTCAGCAGGTGTGTGATCAGAAGGGACCCTGACAAACCTGGCTGATGCCCATGGGCATGGAGGGTAGGGGGCTCCCCCACTGTCGAGGAGAGGACAGCTTTCTACTTTTTCTCCGTCCAAAGTCTGGAAGCTCAGAGTGGCCGTAGAGGAATAAGGCCCGTTCTAGCCGGCTACATCAGAGTTCCTTGATGAAGAGAGGGCAGCCAGAGGAAGGCTGGTGTTGAGGAAGCTCAGAGTAATGAGCCACTGGCTGGACCACCACTTTCCTCCAGCTAGCCCCCTCCTGCTACAGGCACAGCCAACACCGCCAGTCTGGTGACTTTCAAGGTCCCCTCTGTATACCTCGCCCAGACCCGGGTTTGCTCCTGGTTCAGGAAGGCAGCTGCTCCCCAGCTGAGGCCCTGGCAGGCTTGACTCGTATCCGGAAATCTCTCCTTCCTCTCTGGCTCTGTGGTCCCCCGGGCTGCCCTGCTCAGCCCTGCCCACGATGTCCCTGACATCTGTTTCTGGTCCTGTTGAGTTTCTGCCGATGTTTTTCCCTTTCCGGCAGAGGTACACGTGGCAGTCTGTAGCTACTGCAAGCTGGCGAAGAGCAGCTGGGGAGGAGGAGGGGAGGCGGGGAGGAGGGTGAGAGCGAGCTTCAAGATTTGCTCTCAGGCCAAGGGCTCCTGGTTCTTCCTTTCCCTCACTCCCTTCTCTGACTGACCCGGACCCCAGACCCTGGGCTTTCTGAGCACCTGCTAGCCCCCACCGCATGGCATTGTGCTAATATCTAAACACCCCTTCACATCCCAGCCTTTGGGGGACAGGCAGAGGCCAGGAGGGAGGGAGGGAGGGCCAAGCCCCGGCCACAGCCATAGGAAAAGGAGGTTGGCGTTTGGAGCCATGTCTGAGAAGGTAGCTGCTCCCACCCCACCTCCACTCCTGCCCCCGAGCCTGGCTCCAGAGCACCACCCTCGGCAATTTGGGCACGAATGCTTCTCAAGCCCCCTGCCCAGGCCTGTGGCCTCCCTGGGACAATCAACCTCTCCCACAAGCTGTCTCCCCGATTGCTTGTCAGTCTATGGGTCCCGATTTGGACTTCTGAAAATAGACACCCCAAAATAACCTTGCCTCCCCCCAGAGGCAGGGTGAGAGAGCAGGGTTTCAAAGCCAAGCTACAGAGAAGGACAGTGGGGAGTGGGGGGTGCTTCAGAGAGCCAGGTTACCCACAATCCTCCAGTCCCCCAGGCAGAGCTCATCCTGACCTGGGAAGAGCAGAGGCCGGTGGGCTCTTGAGTCAAGCTGGCCCCCTACCTAGCTGCCCTCCCCCCTCCCCTCTGTGTTGAGACTCACCTCCTTCACAGAGCCCTGGGCCCTCTCCTAGTTAACACCAAGATCCACCTGGCCTCCAGGTGTCCCCTGGACCACCACCTGCGCAACTCCCTGCTCAGAGGCCTCACGCAGCTCCCCAGCACCTAGCAGGTCAAGTCCATTCGAAGCCTTTCACACCCTGCCCTCCGCCTTCTGGCCACCATTCCCAGCCCCCTCCCCCTCCCCAGCTGCTTGTCACTCACGTATCCAGCCTTCCTGGTGCCACCCAGTGCCCAGAACATAAACTGCACTGTCCCACCTCCAGCCAGCCCCCACACCCCCGCATTGTCCCCTTTCCCCACCTCATGTGCCTTTTAAACCCCTACTCATCCCCCAAGGCCCTGCTCCAATGGCCCCTCCTTCCCAGGTCACCCCCACCAGAATGCCTGGTCCCTTCCCCCAGGGACCCATCGGGAGGGCTGAGGACATTGGGACAAGCCCTACCCAAGACTGTGGTCCAGGGTTTCCGCCCAACGGCAGGCCTCCAGGTTCATGGCCAAGTTCAGCCAAATGCACCCCCTCTGCCTTTACTGTTCCCACAGGAGCACCGCCCAGCCCCCCACCCCCAATCCCCTTTCTTCTCCATGAGACCCCGCTCTCCTCTTCCCTGGCTTTGGATGTGGCCTCCAGCCCTTTACCCGCTAGTCAGAATCCCATCATCCTCCACATGCCCATTTCTGCGAGAAGCTCCACTACTGGCAAGGAAGCTTGCGTCACCCCCATAAGCGACGTGATGGACAACAGGGGAGCTCACGCTCCAACCCAGGCAGCTGATTCTAGCACTTTCCTCACCACCAAGCTTCTCGGCTGCTCAGGAACGGACTGGGGGGGAGGAGGTCGTGGTGCCTGTTCCCTGTGCTCCACACAGAGCAGAAACTTGGGCTCAACTGCGGGAGTTCAAATCTTACCCCCACCACTTGCGGTCTGATGAAACCCGGCCCAAACTCACTGCCCCGGAGCCGATGCCAACACACAGCGACCCACAGGACAGGGCGGAGCGGTCCCTGCAGGTCCTGTCACTCTTAAGGGGAGTAGAAAGCCCCATCTTGTTCCCGAGGAGAAGCCGGTGGTTTCGAACGGCTGACCTTGCAGTTAGCAGCCCGTGTCACCACGAGGCCATAAGCTGGGTCGGATCCCTTCTCTCCTGAGGGCTCCCGTCTTTGACTGGTGGTGGAGCATGGGAGAGAGTGCTCCCTAGTTCTCAGCCATGATGCACGGAGAGACAGCCTAACAGGGAAGGAAACGGGGAGGCCTTGAGCTGGCCAGGCCAGGCCAGGCCCACACCCACAGCAGGTCTGCAGGGGTCAGCCCTGGGTTTCTGGCTGGGGTCCAGGAAGAGGGACTGAGACTCCTCCCCGGGTCAGCCTGGCCCACCTCCATGCTCTCTGACCCAGTCAAGCTGCCTGCCCAGCCCAGCTCTGAGCTGAGTTCGTCACTCCCTGCCCGGTCCTGTGTCCTGCCTCTCCTCCCCGGGTAAGGGTGCCCGGGTGACTCTTTGGAGAACTGACTATCCCCGTCCAGCTTCAGTCGGAGTTCCGCTGGGATCAGCCCACTCCTGGGCACAGCGGTGGTTCAGGGAGAGGTGCCTCGTTGTCATGGGGACCGAGGAGCACCCGTCCCCTCCCCTCATCTGGCTTGCTCTGCTGGTAGAGGATGGACAGACTGTGGGGAAGAAGTAGCAGAAGATGGAGAGAGAGGACGTTCTGGGGCCGGACCTTGCTTGCAAGCAACAGAGAGTCAGGACTGTGTCCCCACCCCATTCTGCACCTCAGCCTGGAGCTCCTGGCTCTGGGTGGTCCACCTCCGCTCAGCACCCTGACCTTGGCACAGGTGGAGGGAGCCATTTCCAAAGGTCCTCGACACCTGAGCTCACCACCACCACCTCCCCGGCTCCCAACCAGGAGCTCTGAGGCTCAGAGAGTGGGCAGAAGGCCCAGGCCACCCAACTAAGGGTGGCCAAGCGGCGCCCAGTCCCCTGACCCTCAGTCAAGGGCCACTTCCCCCTGCCACAGCCAGAGCTCAACATGCCAAGAGGACATGTAGTTTTCAAACTACGGGATTGAGACAGGGACTGTCCTGGGACTGAGGTGGACGTCCCCCAGCTCACTGGCTCACTGGAGGTCGCTAGGACAAAGCACCTCCTGGGAGCCTGGTGTGTGCTGCCGCTCACCGGGCAGTAGGCTCCAGACCTCCAGACAGGACAGGGCCCTGCCAGCCTGGGAATCCCGAACACAGAGTCTCCAATACCTGCTGCCTTCGGACTGGGCATTCTCATGTCCGGTGCCCATGGCACATGTGACAAAAGGCTCCTGCTGGGCGCCCAGGCCATCACCGGCCACCACAGCCCCGATCTCAAATGCTGGACAGGCCAGCAGTCTGAACAGAGCCTGGCTTCCCCTCACCCTGCGAGACGGGTCTGTCTGGGCAGCCTGGGAAAGGTCTCTGCAGTCCGAAGCAGAGGCAGCCGTGGGCGCTGAGTGAAAGGTTTCCTCCACCGGTCTGAATTTGGGTGGGGGGCTCCTGGTGCAATAGGGGCTGTTTCTCCCATGGGGTTCTCAGAAAGCCCCCTGGCACAGTGGTAAAACAAGGAACAGCAGTGCCCCCACAAGCCGGGGAGGAGCCGCTGTCTGGATGTCTTTATGTCAGGAGCCACCAGGCAGGTAAAGACAGCCCGAATCGGTCCACGGGGAACTCTAAGCAGAATCCTCACAGGAGGGGCAATGCTTGCTCAGCACCCCCAAGGAGTGCTCCCAAGGGGCGGGTCACCTGGGCCCTAGACTAGAACCTCTGAGGTCAGCAGCTGCCCCCCCCCCCAGAGTAGGTGCTCACGAAGCGCTAGCTCAGTGCATGAACACCCCCTCCCATCTCATCCTGATGGAGGGGACCACCACCCCTATTTACTGGCCAAACCCCTGAGGCACAGAAATGCGTGGGACTTGCCCCAGGTTACAGGCAGGAAGGATGCAGTCAACTCCCCAGCTGCCTGAGGGACTGGGGTGAGTGGTGTCTTTGGGTGGGGGCCCTCCTGGATCTGGGCCCCAGGGACCCTTCCAGAGAGAGCAGAACAGAAAAACCAGGCTGGCCTGCAAGGAAGATGCAGTAGCCTTTAATCAACAGCAGAAGCAGGGCAGGGGTGGCGGGGCTGGGGCTTGTGGGATGGGCCCTGCAGCACAGGGTCAGGCCCTGCTACTGGGAGCTCCCGTCACCCTGCCACGTAGCCTTGGCTCCCGGGAGGCTGGTGGGTGAGGTGGGGGAGGGATGAGCACCAGAGACAACTGCCAGGGCCACCCAGGCCTCAGCGCTTGCCTGAGCACCAAGGACACAAGAGGCCACTTCCCTTGGGGGAGGGGTCAAGCTGTGGGGTGGGGGTAGGAGGGCTGGGGGCCCACCGGCCACCCCAGCTCCCCTTCCAGGCTCCACAGGCCACCTTGGCCTGCAGGATGGGGTCACCTGAGGCTGCTAGGACTAAGGGTGGGACTCAGGGCTAGGGGACGGGGAGATGTCCCCTGCTTCATTCGCCTGGGCCTCTCCTTTGGCATTGTGGCTCAGAGGTGGGTGCCCTGATGGTGCCAGCTGGTCCACTGACTGCTTCGTTCCCCAGACCTGCTGGGGTGCTGTCATGCTGGCCCCCGGAGGCTTGGCTAGGCGGAGGTGCCCATCAGGGCCTTTAGCACCGTGATGAAGCCGGAGCTTTGGGGCTTGGGGCTGATGGGGGTGAGGAGGGCCACTGGAGAGGACAGACATCTATGCCTGAGCAGTTTTGAGTCCTGGGAGATTGGAGGTCAGGGGTGTTTGGGAAAAGGGGTTGAACAAGGTGGTGACAGCACCCCACTCCTTCCCCCTGCTCCTAAAGAGGTTTCCGTGAGGAGGGCAGAGGTCCTTCAACTATTTGGCCAGCCGTGGTGGTAGCTGGGGAGGAGGGGGGTGCAGTGGGGCACGATCTGAGCTTTGATTCATGGGGTCACCTTCACCCTAAGATGCCCCCAAGCGCCTGTTCTCCGCAGGCCCTGCTGGGGGTCACTTTAGGGATGGGCATTGGTCAGGACTGGAACACTGGCATGTAACACACAGCCACAAAGGGGTCCTGTCCCATCATCTGTAAGTAGCACCTGGTAAGGGGGCCATGCAGTACCTGAAGGCCCAGGATACAGATCTGCCTTCCGTGCTCCCTCAGGACCTCCTGCGGGTCTGGGTGCACACAGAGTGGGTAGGGCCCATATTGGCGTCCCGGGGGCCGGGCCCAGTGGGCACACTGGGGAGTCGGAGGAGGCAGGGTCTGGAGGAAGGCCGGTGAGGAGGCAGGCAGGGCAGAGAACCGGCGGAGAGCCCTGGAGTGAGGAGAGCCTCTGAGCATGTGGGGCGCATTCTAGAGCACTCAGAAGAGTCTCTCTGTCCCGGAAGGACTCCCAGGGCACACGCAACTCCAGTGGGGCCACAGACCGGTTACTTGGGATGAACCGCCACCAGAACACCATCCCCGGGGGACCCATCTTGGGGGTGGGGTGCGCATTCCAGTTCCAAAGGATTGGCCTGAAAGAAAGTTCTGGAAGGTGGCACGTCACAGGCTCTTCACAAGGTATGTCAGACAGGAGGAGAGAGGCAGGCACCCGCGGGGAGGGGCAGTGGCTGTTCAGAATGGAGAGAGGCCGGACCTAACTAGCACGTCGGGTTCTGCAGGGCCACGTGCCCGCCCCCCACCCACCTTTCAGGAGCAGGTGGCGGGTGGGGTGTCCCCCGGGGGGACTGGTGGCCTCAGTCCTCGTCCGGCTTGATGAGGTGGCCGCTGAAGGTAATGTAGGTGTCCACGTCGTCGCTGTAGATGGCGTTGTCCCGCTCCCGCTTGAAGAGCCTGACCCAGACGCGGTCCCCGGACAGCAGGGCCAGCATCACACTCTGGCTCTGCATAACGCTGCGGTCGCTGGGCTGTGCGTACAGGATGACGGCCGCCACCTCGTTGTGCATCACGTGCGCGTAGGTCTCCTTGAAGTTCCAGCTGTGCACGTTGAGGCTGAAGAAGTAGAGGCCCTGCAGGGGGGCGGTGAAGTGGCCGGCAGCCAGGTCGAAGTGGCCGTCCGGGTTGACAAAGACAGTGTCAAAGAGCAGCGGTTGGAAGCCCTCGCTGCTGTGCAGGGCGGTCCGACGGCCCACCGAGAAGGCGGAGGAGCGAGCCCGGCACGGGCTGCCCGGACTGCCCGCCTGGCCCTTGGCGCCCTTGGTGCCCTGCACACCTCGGTCTCCCTGGGGGCCTTCCTTGCCCTGCTTCCCTGGTGTGCCCAGTGGACCGCGGTCCCCTTTGTCACCTGTGGGGACGAGGAGGGGAGAGGTCAGGCCCTGGCTGGGGAGGACTCAGGTGCATTTGATTGTGCTCCCAGGAGCATCCTGAGCATGTCTGACTTCGGCCTCCTGCTGTACCCGCAGCCCGAAGAGCCCAGACCCAGCCAGGGCTGTCCTGGGATCTGCATTTGCCCTTCCCTCCGCCTGAATGCCCTTCCGGGTCCGTAGCAACCCGGCAGCCTTTCTCGCAGGCTTCGTGCCTGCTCAGATCTCACAACCACCCCACTCAACACCCCACATGCAGCTTCGCAGCCTCCTCTGTGCCTGCACTCCCACCCTGCTCCCTCCATCCCGCTGCGACTGCCCTGGAACCCAGCCTGGCCTGTGGGCTGAGTGGGTTTCACTGACTTCCTGTCCGGGCTTACTGCTCCCACTAGGTCAGCCGCTCTGCACTGGGAGGTGCTTTGCCTGGTCTGGGCTCGGCTCCAGCCCTGTGTCTGAAGCAGTGAGGGGGCCTGGTGCCACACGGGGAAGGCCGCCCCGGACGTGCACGTGGCCCTAGGGGTGCCGAGCTCCTGAGGGTTTTCAGAGGCTGGGTTTTCCACAGTCAATGGCCAGGCCTTTCTTGCGAGGCACCTCAGAGTGGACTGGACCCTCCCACCTTTCAGGTAGCAGCCGAGCGCCTTGGCAGTGGCCAGAAACCCCTCTGGGACACAGCAGGTGCCTGACACACATGGGCGTGAAATAAAGGGTCTGATGGCTTCTCTGGGCCCCTCCAGTCCACCCCTCACGTCGGATCCAGGGAAAACCCCTCTGCCCTCCTTGCTCCCTGCCCCCGATGTGGCCGGGCTGGAGGTGGGACTCACCCTTCAGGATGGTGATGTTAATATAGGGCCTGACCTCAGGCAGGGCATAAGGCAGGGCAGATGGGGAGGCCGCCGGCATTGCAGCATCGGCAGGGGCTGGGGGGTCCACTGAGTCACAGCACCGTCGGCAGCCTCCAGGAGGTCTGGAGGCCACAGCTTCTCCAAAGAGGGGCCCCTCGCTGCGGATCCCAAGCACCGAAAGAGAGAGTAGGAACACGGTCCAGGAGGGGCCCGGGGCGCCTGTCCCCATGGTGACCTGGAGCGGGGAAAGGGTGTCAATTAGCATCGAGGATGTGCCACGGAGCCTTGGAGCCTGGTGGCTGAGCGGGCGACCAGGTGAGCTGCTAAGCACAAGGTCAGCAGTTCAAACCCACCAGCCGCTCTGAGGGAGAAAGATGAGGTTTCGTACTTCCATCAACAGTGATGGTCTCAGATACTCTCAGGGGAAGTTCTACCCTACCCTAGGGGGTCGTCGTGGGAATAGACTTGGTGGCAGTGGGAGGGTGTGCCGAGGCCAAGTGTGGGCCACCCACACCAAGAGCATGCTTGGTGACGCTGAGGTGTGATGAATGACAAGACTGAGGCCGGCACAGGGAAGCCGGCTGCCCACGGACACATTACACCTGCACCCCTGGGTCCATGGAGGGAGATGTCTGAACCCCTGGAGTGTCTCTGAAGAGTGTTCTGGGAGATGGGGGCCTGGTGGGCACAGAAGAGACACCCCCCAGCCCCCACCCACATGCCATAAGCCATGAGGCTGCTCCCCCTGGCCTCCTCCCTCAGGCCTGTTTTCCTGCTGTTGACTCGGCCACATCCGGCCAGCTATGGGTACACCACGAGGCAAGTGAGTGGACCCTTGGGGACTAAGAGCAAGGCTCTGCAGGCCTGCTCCCCAGGACAGGGGCGTGCCGGGGCTGAGAGAGCCGGGGTCACTACATAGTGGGGATGCTACAGTATCTCCGAGAATCCTAGACTGCCGGCCCCTGCTGGCCCACCTGTGCCTCCTGGTCCCCTGGGGGTGAGCAAATCAGAGAGAAGTCCCCTCAAGGCAAGTGATGCTGAGCTGTGCAGTGGCAAGGCCTGGTGTGAGCCCCTCGCCCCCCTGCAGCCCCTCCCCCCCAGCCAGTGAGAAAACTCGACAAGCCAAGCTCCTACAGGGCATTCCCACAAGGCCAGGTCACTGCGAGGTTATGCCTCCAGCACCCTAGACCGGCCCCTCGGCTCCCTGGTGGGAATTGGAATTCAGGGCTGGAATTAGGAGGCCTGGAAAATCCCAAAGGACCAGGCATCCAAGGGTGTATGAGGCTCAGACTGAGGCCTGGGCAAGAGGGGGGGAGGGTCAGAGTGCAGGGAGATGGGGGCGGAAAGTCCCCTGGGCACTGGCCGCTGGCCACAGCCAGGCTGTGTGGGCAGGAAGCCACAAAGGCCGTTTGAGGCAGTGGCAGCCTTTGGGGGGTGGGGGGCGATGTGGGGGTGGCTAGTGCCCAGTAGCACAGGATCAGAAACTCAGCTTCAGAAACCAGACTGGGTTTGACACTTCTAGCGTTTCCTTGTTGACTTCCGCCTGGTTCCCTTGAACGTGCCGTACGATGCAAAAATATTTTTCTTGGGTTATCTGAGCAGAGAAGGCGATTTTGTTGTTACTTTTTTAGTGTCAGCCCATTTCAACTGGAGACCTCGGAGCTCTGGGCCTCCCCCCGGCCCCGCAGCTGGGTGGGAGCAGGAGAGGGATGGAGGGTAGTGACTAAATGCAGAACCCCTTCCTGGAAGTGACCCTTCCCAAGCTCCTCTCTGCCTACCCTAGGCCGGTGTGCCGCTCCCGTTCAATACGGCGGGACTCAATGCCAGCCCCCTGCCAGGTGGCACCCCCACCCCACTCCACCTCTTCACGTTTTATTTTGCAGCCCCCGCGTCTAGACAGCTGTTTCTGAGCACAGCGGACGCCCCTGTGATATAGGGTCGCTCTGGGCAGCACTGGCTCTATGGCAGTTGGTCTGGCTTTTGAGTTTTGTGTTTGGCTGTGACCTCTCGTGCAGAGGGTGGGCTTATGATCCCTCTGAGCCAGTTCCCAAGGGCTTGACCTCTTGGGGCTCCCTGTTCCTGGACACCGACTGAGACATGACCGTCACACAGTTCCCCATGCCGTGTTATCTGGGAGAGGAAACTCAACTGCCTTGTAAAAGGCCCCATAAAACCTTGGCTCTGTCCTAGGCCCCACACTGCCCTCACCCACCCTGCCTGCCCTGCGTGGGAAGCTGCAGGGCATCCACCAGAGGACTGGCTCTGGTGAGGACCTCCCTGTTGCCCGGGGCCACCTAGAAGCCAAGAGCTCAGAGACACAGGAGTGGGACCCCGGGGATAGGAGGGAAGGCAGCCCAGGCCGGCCTTGTCACAAGTTACAATTACCACACATAATAGTGATCAGTGCCCTGGGAATCAGGCCAGTGAGGGTGACTCTCAGGGTCCTCCCTGCCTCTGCTTGGGAGCTGGGTGCTCTAGGGGAGGGTGAGCAGGCCCTGCGGAGCCCAGTGGGAGCAGGACCAAGCAGGCAGTTGGCACCGGCCGGGAGGAGCCCCAGGCTGAACCATGGAGGAGGAGATGGAGAGGGATCAGAGAGACAAGGGGCATGGCGAAGAGGGAGGGAAGACCTTGTGGGCTGCACTGACTCCAACCCCGCTGCTGGTCCCCACTGCCTGCAGGGTCACCTGTCACTCACCGAGTGTCCTGTGTCCTGCACAATGGCTCACGGGCCCCAGGCCTTCCGGACGCTGCTTGCTCTTTGGCCCATGTTGCGATAATAACTTGTTGCTGGTCTAGACCCCCGGTGCAGCCAAAGCAGGGAGCGAGGGAGGGAGGGATGGAGGGATGGCAGCCAGAGGGCGGGCCAGAGGGCGGAGGGAGCCAGGAGCTGGTTCCCCTGGTTCCTCCTAGTCCCTCCCTCTCTCCCTCCCTCCCTCCAGCTGCAGGCTCTTGGAGGAATAGCAGGAGCCCAGGATTTCCTCTGCTTAACTCTTTGGTGACCCAAGAAATCTCATTTGATCCAAAGACCTCCAAAGGGCAAAGGGGGCAAAGACCTGAGGCCTGAAGCTCCTGAAGCCCAGAGGCTGAGGCCCACCAGGGAGGGGGGCTGGACTGTGGTCCCCACTGTTGCTCAGCGGGGTGGGGGTGGTGGGGTCCGGCAGTACCACCTACCGGGCCCACTCCCCCTGGATCCTCCAACTGGAGCTGTGGGACTCTTCCTGAGCTGCTGCTTCCGGGTAGTGGCACAAGTGGCACAGAATCTGCAGGTTCTGGGTTCAAGTCCCAGCACTGCCACAGATCGAGTGACTTGGGCCCAACACTGGGCCTCTAAGACCCTCGGTGTCTGGACAAAGCCATCCCTGGCCTTGTCCTCAGTCATCCTAGCTGTTCGGGGGATGATCTAAGAGTGGACCATCAGGCCCTGACCGATGATCTCATCCGATCCCTGCACCGGTTCAAGATCATGATGCTGACTGGAGTCCACACAAGGGTGACGTTGGACCCTCAAGAGTGGCAGTCTTGTGCTCTTGTCTGACTGCCACAGCCCACTGGGAGCCCCCCCACACACACACACACAGCCCCCCAAGGTCTGGGCAGGGGTGCAGAGGGTGAAGGCGAGCAGGCCGGAGAGCTTGAGCCACTGAGAACTTGGCAGGCTCACTCAGACCTGCCCTCTACGTGGCCCTGCCCCAGGCAATGTTCCCAGGGCCCAGAGCCAGGGCCTCTGAGGGCGGGAGCCCAGGGCTGTATCCTGCAGGCCTGGAAAGTGCCGAGTCAGCTGGGCCACAGGAACCTCCAAGAGCCACGTTCCTGGCTGGAGTAGACAGTCTGGCTGTCTGCGGATAGTTCCCCAGAGAAGGCAGGCAGACTGGGGACACAGGAGTGGTGGGGGAGGCACGGACTGTGTGCCGGCACGGCATGCCTATGACCCCACTCGGCAACTCCTTCTCAGAGGAGGAGTCGGGGGTCGAGAGAAGCAGGGCAATTGCCTGAGTTCCAGACCTAAGTCCGTTGGCTCATGGCCACACCAGTGTCCAGTAAAGGGCCCCTTGTCCCACGTGATCCCAGGCTGTTGGCTGGGGCAGGGCAGATGGAAGAAACTTACTCTTGAATAGGACATTCAATATTTCCCCCACTCTCTCTTACCGTGCCTGCAACCCTTCCATTTGTGAGTCAGCCCCTGGTCAGTTTAAGGACCAGTCTGACGGCCTCTCCAGCTGGCCAGTGGCAGGCAAACAGATGTCAGGCCCCGGGGATGGGGGTGGGGGTGGGGATGACCTGGGTCTCAGCTTCGCCTCCTCCTAACTGGGCAAGTCTCCCTACCTCTCTGAGCCTCAGGGCCCCTGGAGCAACTAGATTTAAGATCAAGAAGGAATGCTGGCTGCTAACAGCAAGGTCAGCAGTTTGAAACCACCAGCCGTTCCCACAGAGAAAGACGGGACTCTCTACTCCCATCAAAGTTCCAGTCTCCGAGACTCACAGGGGTTCTTCTACCCCGTCCACGAGGGTCCCTACGAGTTGGCATCGACTCGATGGATGGCCATTTGTCGAGAGAGTAGACCATCGGAGCCACCTGGCAGGCCTCCCTTTCCCTGGCGGAACCCTGGGTGTGGCGAGAGTACATGCCCATCCATTCTCCTGAGGTGTGCCCCCCAGCCTGGATGCCCTCCTGGCGCAGGCTTCCCCCTCCTCACCTGTAATAACTCCACTGCAAAGATGTGCCTCAGTCCCAAGGCCGGTGTCCCCCAGCCACCAGCGTGCTCTTCCCTTGTGCTCAGGAACCAGCTTCACTCTGTCCCATCCCTTGTCCGAGAGCTCATCCGATCCTCTCATAGACCCCGTGCGATGGGCACGCTTATTATCCCCATCTTACGGGCGAGGATGATGAAGCACAGTCCTAGTGGCACTCAGGACCAAGCTCTTAACCCAGATCCCCACTCTCTGGCTATGTGACACAGGCAGGGTGGGGCAGGGGTGGGGGCATGGCGGTGTAAACATAGTGGCATTCAGTCTGTGGTTACAAAGAGCCGGCCCCATTCTTTCTGCTGCACTCCTGGGAAAGCCGCTGTGTGCACCTATCTAAAACGGCAACTGACGGAACAGGAGCCTTGACCATTCCCGGAATTCGCTGCAGAAATCGTGACTCCCAGGGCCTCCTTCTAATGAGCTCATTAGGAAAGCTAAACAAAAGGGTGCTGAGCGCCACCTGCTGGGAAGAAGCACCAGGGTCCCAAGAGTTGACACCAGGAGCGTCAACTACTCCGCCAGCCACGTAAGGCTGTTAATGCAAGGTCAGCTGTTCGAAACCACCAGCCACTCAGAAGGAGAAAGATGGGGCTTTCTCAGCCCGTAAAGTGACAGTCTTGGAAACCCACAGGGGCCGTTCTGCCCCCCTTCTCTAGGGCTGCACTGAGTTGGCATCGTGAGTGCGTTTGAGCTCCTCCTGAGGGACGTGAGGGGCTGAGATGCCTTGGGGCTGGCTGGGCTGGCCCGGTGCCCAGCTCCCCCTCCAAAACGCAATGGGTCTAATGGGGCACTCCCTCTCCCAAGCAACTGCCCAGCTGCCTCCCACAGGAAGGACGGAGGCCTCGCTATCCCCGGGCACACCTCTCTCCCTAAACTCCCTTTCTCCACCCTGGGATTTCAGCCACGGTGGTGTTGGCCTAAGATGGGTATTGAATCCTATTTGGCAGAAGAGGACACCGAGTCCCCACGAGCTCCAGAGAAGGAAACTTCTAGCACCATGTCAGCCCTCTGCACCCTGACAAAACTAGAAACCAGACTCATGGCCACCGGGTCAACTCTGACGCATAGCAATCCTACAGGACCGGACCTGGTGGGACTGCCCCTG